GGGGGGGGGGGGGGTAGTGCATCGGAGGGGGGGGACTAACGTATGAGCTTTCCCGGAAGGTGCAACCGGATGAGAAACAAGAGTACTTTCTGCGAGGTGCAATCTTGACTTCTGCGCGATGTCCGCTGTATGTACTCAAATCGAACTCGCTCGCGGCACAAAGACCGCGACGGGCGTTGCGCTTTGCCGCGAGAGCGCTTGAATGACGAGACACAGCAATAGCACACACTGGTGAAACGAAGAGAAAGAAAAAAATGAATGAACAAAAAACAGCAACTTTAACCGAAGCATCGGAGAAGAGAATAACAACAACATCAACAACCAACACAATACCAACAGCAACAACCTTCCGTCGGCCCTAACCTGCTTGGACGTCATCGTCTTGGTCAGTTCGCGAAGCAGCCGAAGGGCCGACAATTGCGCCCTGGGCACCCATTCCGAGGTTGTGCCCGCCTCCTTAGACCCGCGGACGAACTCCACCTCGGGCTCGAGGAGCAACGACGGCAAGTACGGCTGCAGCCTCGTGAAGAGGTCTTGCACCTCCAGGGTCGGCACCTGCCCACTGTGTTGTTTCGGTTCGGTTCACGAGAACGTTGGGCAGGGTATATGACGTTGTTGTTGTGGATGTTGTTGTTGTTGTTGTCGGTGGTTGTACATAGTTTCTTCTGTTGACTCGCTTTCGTTCCTTGCCCCCCTTGCGACGAGTTTATTTTCCGCTTGCTTTCGCCGAGACCTCTTGGCGCATGTGACGGCCAAAACAGGTGCGCGTTCTGTTCAAGCTCGAAAAAAATCAACGACAGCAGTGATGTCGTCAACGGCGACGGGATTAAAATATCGCCTCCGAACCTCTCACCGGGGAAGGTTGTCGGCGAGGGTTTCCAGGAGGCGTCCCCGACAGGAAGCGTCTGCGAACTGCATCGCCCCTAGGGAACTCAGGAGCAGCTGGCGAGTCATCACTGCCGGGTAGACGCCGGAGATTGCCGCCACGGCGTGAACAAAGCGATTCCGCAGCTTCCCGTCCCTCCCCTGCGCTCGGGGGGCGGAGACGAGTACAGACCACCGACGGTGACAAGGCACACGGTCAGCCGGAGCATCCACTTGTGATGTTGCCGCTACTGTAGCTTCAATACAACAACAGCAACAGCCCCATCAATATCATCAACAACAACAATAAGAGCCGCGACAACAACAACAACAACAATCAGCAACANTGCCATTGTGAAGACAACAAGATCAACAGCAACAACAACAACGCCAACAACGACATTAACAACAACACAGCAACAACAACAACAACAACAATCAGCAACAAATGGTCTCTCTCTCTCTCTCTCTCTCTCTCTCTCTCTCTCTCTCTCTCTCATTTCCTTCCCACCATGCGCATGAGCCGGTCGGTGACCCTGCGCGCCAGCCACTCCGACCCTTCCGCCTGGCGCAAGACCGGGCAGAGGCTGTCCCCCGATGGTAACCCCCCGTCCTCCTCGAGCCAGGACACGTGGGCCAGGGCCATGGCGAGAAGCTCCGTCCCCGTCTCGAAGGTGTTCTTCTGCGTGTAGGACAGGCAGACGTCCGGGAGGGTGCGCGCCAGCTGGTCCGCGGCAGGCACGCTGGACGTGAGCACGGGGACCTTCATACCCAGGAGCACGCCTAGGAGGTTGAGGCCCGTGAGGATGGTGTGCTTCGCCTGCGGTGCCCCCCCATCCCCCACCCCCATCCGGGTTACGCGACAACAGCATCAGTTAGTTCTTCGTCGATATCGGTGGCATCAAATAACAATCTTCACGGCGAGAAATACGAGACCCCCGCCCAGTGCTCTTCCAACATGTGCAATGGACTCGATTTCACCACGAACAGGCTTCATAACCGACGGCAGACACGGTCGCTCCTCTCCCCCCCCCCGAATCGCCACGTTACAAATGATACGAGCATCGCTTACCTGTACCCCCTTGCTCTGGGTGCTGGCGTGGGCGCCTCCGGTGTGGCCCTCCCTTTCCTTCAGCATGTCGACGACAAATTGGAGGTTCAGTCGGAGATCGTTCGTCCTGTCATTGGCAAGTACAGGCAACGAGAAAAAACGAGGTGGTTCGAGATACAGGAGAAGTAGCAATGGGTGTTCCACGAGTTCTGTGCGATGAGTTGGGGCTGTTCTTGCCCGTGCTGTTTGTAGAGTATCGCAATACGCAATATTTCCATGGTCAGGCATTAGAACAATGCTTGGTGGCTTCTGAGTAGCGTCGAGGTGACAACGTGACGGCTGGCCAATCGCTCGTCCAGCGGCACTAGCATTTCGTTCATGACAGCGCGTCTACAAGCGAACGTACTGCCAGCAAGCGCAGAACACACCTGCATACCAAATGCACAATTTTCTTCCCAGACAACGGAGGGCACACGCAGGGCGAACTGAAAAGGCCTACAACGACTCTGGGTTGTAGAGCTAGCTGAGTAGGCACGCTGGACGTAGACGGCACCAATGAACACCTTCCAGTTCGGTGCCCTTCCATACGGATGGCGTCGCCGTTGTGGTCGGTCTGTTCGACGACTTTGTCCCCGAAGAGCCCGACCAACCCGGCCACGAGGAGCACGTTAGCCCGCAGCATCGGCGTCTTCCCGTCGGGACAGCTCGCGACCGACATCAGGTGCGACACCAGGCGGTTGCCAACGTCAAGGAGGGGCTGCCGGGAAACGTCTCCGGGGTCTCCCCCCGCCTCCGCCGCTCTACGCCGCTCTTCCGCCCTCGCCTCTCGCACGGCCCGGCCCCAGCCGCTCGCTCCTGATTCGTCGAGGAGCAGCTGCGCGAAGTCTCGTAGGAGGTAGTGGAGACCGTTCTCCCCATCGGTCCTCAACCCTGCGGATGGAGGTTAAGGTGTCGGACAATGGCGGCAACACGTGAAACGTTTGCGCCAATCATCGAGCGCGCACCTCTGTCTTTTTCTCGACTTTCGTGTTCCGGCAGGCACAGAGCGCGGTCAATATGATGGCAACGAGCCCTCTCTGCGCACAGCTAGGGGGGGGTGGGGGCGTAAGGAGGATGCCCGCCGGGTAGATCACGAAAGCCTCAGCGTTGCAGCTACATGAGATTTTGAGTGCTTCCAATGCACGACATGGCGGAAACCTTTTGTCAACCTCCCCAGCCCTTCTCTCATGTCTCTCTGAATTTTGCTGGGCCAACGACGAAAGGTATCGACTTCACATTACCACGATCGTTTCAAGGCACGCATACCACAGATGGGCCACCTTCAGGGAGCGGCGCCAGAGCAAAGTCGGACAAGGCTTTGATCCACGGCACCGCCCACGGCAACAGAGCGGTGGAGACCGGGGCGTTGAGCGCGAACTGGAACGCCAGGATGCGCACGTTTCGCGGGAGGTCGATGTCTTCGAGCTTGGCCCTCATCTTGACCGACCACGCCGGCTCAAACCTACGGCATACAAAATATCAGTTTTTAGACTGGTGCACAGGACTCCTTTTAGTTGGAGAGACCGCAACCGCCACAGTATGCACACGCGCGACGTCGCCCATGCGCCGTTACCATGGGTGGACGTCGCGATTTCCACGAAGCGCATGGGTGTTAAATCTGGGAAACGAGGCATGGCACCAGCAAAGACAGTGAACCCAATCGTGGTCGCACGTGCTTACATTCCGTTGCTCTGGTCCACCTGCTCGTTCCAGCTGTCTTCGAACAGCCGCCGCTGGGCGACCATCACCTGCAGTAGCGACCGCATGCACGGCTCCTTGTTCACGTGACTCATCTCGAGGTAAATAACGTCCTCTTCCGCGACTCCCCCTCCCCGCGTTCCGCCCCCAGCACTCTCGACAGCCCCACGCCCGAATACCGGGGCCATGTCACCCTGGGACTGCGAATGGGACCGGGGATGTTGGGAGTCCGTCCCCGGCTCTCCGTCCCCTTCCGGAACTCCCGCCGGCTCCGTCAGCGCGGCCTGGCTGCTGTAAGTCTCTCTCTCGTCTTCCGCGGCAGGGTCCGCAGCACCGTCACCGCCCGCCACCACAGCCAACGAATCACCGCCGAACCCGAGACTGCTCTGAGAGAGCATCGAGGAAGCGGTCATGCCTCCGCGGCTGCGACCCGTAGTTGCCGCGCTTCGGCCGCGGCCGAGCGGGAGAGGGCGCGCCGGGAAAAGCCGAGACGATTGGAACACCTTGGGGCTGACTTCGAACGTGTGCTCGGTCTCCATGTTCAGGACAAGGGCGAGCACGCTGGTTTTGCCCCCACCCGGCCCCGACGACTTGGCGTAGAGGGCGTCCGACCACACGAGCTTGTCGAAGAACTTCTCCTTGTCCTGGGTGGCGCGAACGGCTGTGCATACGCAGGAGAACACCGCCCGGCGGCAGCGCAGCTCGAGCCAACTCTGGCTGAGCTTTTCCTCCGAGGCAACCACCGCCTTCCAGGCGTTGCAAACCCCCAGCGTAACATCCTTCAGAGTGAGAGCCTTCTCCTCATCCCCCTCTTGCGGCTCTTTAGCGGGACCGCCCTCAATCGTCTTCGTGTTCCTGAACGCCGAGTCCGCGAGGGCCTGCAGCGGCTCGAGGTCGAACGCGTCGTACAAGACCTCGAGCAGCGAGAAGCAACACGACGCCACCAGCGGGCCGTCAAGGAACGTCCCAGCCTTGCTGCGCTTCCCGACAACCGCAAACAGGCGTCTGAGCACGGGCCCCTCGACCACTTTCCCCTTCGAAACGGGCCTAAACCAGCTGCCCGCAGTGGCCGACAGGTACAGGCTTTTGACGATTTCTGCGGGGCAGCGCCGCAACATCGGCAGGCACACCTTGTCGAACAGGACGGTCCGGACGCTGGCCCCGACTCTCCCCGCGGTGAGCTTGTCCAGGCAGAATCCGAGGACGGCCTCCGCCACGCCGCTCGCCTCCACGTCCAGCCCCGAAACGAAGGCATCCAGGGCCTTGTCGACCCATCTGTGGTGGCGTGCGACAGCAAGTAGGGGGGGAGGGAGGAGGAGTCATGTGGGTTTCGCATGTTGAGAAGAGATTGTGCCATCCGGTGTTTGTTCCAGCGTGACGCACACGTTCAGATCAAGCCTGGTCAATCTGTGGGCATGAACGCAAAAGACGAAGCCATGCCAGGCGCATGGAACCAATTTGACATGGGGTAAGCAAGGAAGCTGTGAGTCAAATGCATCCCGTGTGCCAGACATTACTGGGGTTTTCGGCACGGAGAAATTCTTCAAGTTCTAGTCTTCCTCCATTAGTGCCCCTACATCACCCAATACATACTCTTGAAAGAGTTTTCCTGCGCCGTACACGGGGGAGGCGGAGGTTCATCAGAGCGATGGGCAAGCTAATCCTTCCTGGGGAGCGTGCTATCCGCAAATCCCACCTGTAGTGCCGGTGCTTCCGGCCTTCCGCCAGGGTACCGAAGAGCAGCTCCAGCAAGCCAAGGTCCCCGCACCTCACGAACGCACCGAGCAGCCCCCTCAGCAGCAGCGCGAACGCGGTCGCCTGCTCCGATCCTTCCTCCGGCTCTCGGCTGTTGTCGATCGGGAAGTGCATCGACATCATTTCCTCCAGAGCGGGCATCACTAGCCCGTCCGGCTTCCCCTTACCCCCTGCGCTGGCACCGGCGCCGCCGGCTCCATCTTCGCCTTGCTTCCCTGCGTGTGGGACGGCATGCCCGTAGTTCCGAGCTTTTCGCGTGAGGCACGGCCTCAAGAAGGGCACAAGGGTGAGAGCGTCCGCCTTGGTGGAGGCGTCAACGACCGAGGATGACGACCCCAGCGTCCCCGCCACCAGCAGGGCGCTCATTTCCAGCAGCCGCTCAAAGTGCGGCGGTGACGTCGTGGACGAACCGCTGCTGCCGCTGGTCGAGGTGGCGATGGGAGACCCGGACTTCACAGCCGCAGCCAGCCGGAGGAGGCAGTGGCAGAGACGGAGAGATTCGCGCAGCATTTTTCCCGTGCCGTGAACCCCGACGGCCGCGCTACCGCCGGTCTTCCCCCGCACGGCGGTCGGCGGCGGGCCCCAGTCAGGGTTCTCGACGAGGCGTCGAAACTCGGGCACAACTACGCTCAGCGTCTCCCTCGGGTCCATCGTGGCCCGCGAGGTGAGGGTCGTCGCTCCCGTCGCCCGCTCCGACTGAAGGATCAAAACGCCTTCGAGGACAGAAAACGCCTGCGCTGCCAGCAACGGGTGGTGACCGCGCGTCTCCCCGGCGGTGGTGGACAAACAGGCATCCACGAGTGCCTTGCACACGCTGGACCAAGGGCAGCCAGCTCCACGCCTCAGCAGTGCATCGTGAATTGGCTCGGAAAATCGGCGGTAGAAGAGAGAGCCACGAGTGGCGCCGCCAACACCTACCGCAGACGACGCCACCGCTCGTTTCGCCGGGTGCAAATCTAGCAAGCCGGCGAGGATGGAGGCGACACCGGTGGTAGCTCCCGTTGTCGTGGGAAGGCCTAGGTCCATCGACAGCCGCAGGGCCGTCTTTGCGCGGTGCTCGGACGCCGGCCGCAGCCCCTCCGGGAGGCGGAGAACCGTGGACCAAAGCCCGGAGGCAAGGCGAAACGCTTTGCCGCCGCCGCCACCGTCGCCGACACTGCCAAAGAGCCCAGCGTTCGCGAAAGACCTGTACGCTCGAATAACGCGGCCCGTGAGTTCGTCGTCGGGAGGAGTAGGTGAACGCCTTGCGTTGCTGCGTGCGGTAGAGGGTTTCCTGCCAGCACGACTGGAGACGAAGGGGCGAGACAACGCCTGCTGGGATGAAAGGGACTGCGCCAAAATCCATTGGCAAAGGTCGACAGCATCGTCTTCTCCGCTGCTAGGGCTAGCGGCCGAAAGCCTAGCGCTGTCTTCCTTGGACACCCGAACCCGAAGCAGGCTCTGCAGGGTCTCGGAAAGCCCGTTTCCTGGCCCCGCGGCATTGTCCAAGGTTTTCCAGTGCTTCAGAAGGCGTTCCACCGCTGCCGGCAGGACTACAATCCAGCGTTGACAGAGAGCGAAGCGGACGAGGGAAGAGAGAGCTTGTTAAAAACTCCAAAGCGGAATTGGATGAGCAGAGCTCCGCCATGATCCCCTCCAATAATCACCTGTTGTGGATGTTGGAAAACACGACCAGAGACGCCCGACTTGCTGCGTAGCCGAAGTGTGTGCGGTTGGCGCCTCAGTACTAGAAAAAGCACACGGGTCTTCCTAGAAATAGTTCAGACACGCTGAGGAACACGTTTCCGAGGGAAAAAGCGAAAGCTGACGTAACGGTAGCTGGCTCCCTAGGGATACCGACTTGACTTTCTGCCGTATTTCGAGCTTCTGTACATTCCTGTTCCCGTTGTGATACCTACTCTCCTTAGGGCACACGCTGGTGCCGAGCTTCTACCGGGCGTAGGGATGGTTAAGTCGGTCACGGGTACGTGGGATAATTGTTCCAATACACGCCGACAAACACTCTCATGGGCGCATGTTTTGTGGCCCCCGCCCTCCTCCCCTCTCTCTCCCTGATTGGAGGAAACGCACGCAATACGCCCCGGCCTTGCAGGGATGCGAGGTTTATCACCGAAGGGTTACTACGTGCATGATCATGACCGACCCCGGCCTCGCCCCTTACATTGTTCCACCTCGTCCCCGTCGGAAGCACGAGGAAGAAGTTCCCCGGCCCACGGCCATACGAGAGAGTATATCACGACCAGGTGCGCGCGGCGGCTCCAGAGGCCTTCTTTCACTAGAAACGCGGCCATCTCGTCTCTCCGGGCGCCGTCGTCGGACAAGCAGCCGGCGAGGAGCGTGAAACCGCGGCGAAGGAGCACCGCTCGGGAGAGCTGCGCGGTCGCCCGCTCCGTCGGGAGCAGGCCCGGGTCGTCGACCACTAGAGGTCCACTCGCCTCCGCGGCCAGCCTGTTTCGCCGCAGAAAGGGCCCGTAGGAGTCTCAAAAAGGCTATTAATCTCAATAGCAACGGTTTCGGGAAGAACAAAAGAACATGAAGTGCTTCGAACTGCGCCTTTTCGGCACAAGGAGGGTACTAGTTGCCAGGCACCTAGATTGGACTCGAAACACGAAGGAGAACAGGGACGTGATACACAAATCATCTGTGCTTCGTGGAGTGAATGGAATCGCTGCAACCTACAAGAGTATATGCGACCGAACGATACCACTTCATACGCCCAAGGACGGTGCTGAGCAACTTCATTGCTTCCCCGACCCAGCGAGCTTGGTTCCCCGATCTAACACTTGGGTGAATCTCCTCAGCCTCCAGCCGCCCACGTGTTGAAAAGCCCTTCGATGCGGCAAGGGTGTAAAACTACCTATCTCAACGAACATTATTTCATTCAAACATGGTAAAGGAGCGAGAATCAATAACAACACCCAGCTGTGTCCTGCAGAGCGTGCACCGCTCAACGAAATATCGTAGATCGCGATAGTTGCCAATATCGTTATGTCATCAGAAAAAAGGTTGTTACATTCTGAGAACAGTGCCTTTTGCAATCTCTCCAACAGCTGTTTTCAGCGCTACCTTTTCAGTCTGAGTTCGATTTTTCTGCCGCGGAGATTCGGAACGACTGTCACATCAACAAAGGAGATGTGGTCTCTTGCGCAACCTATGCATACGGTGCGGTAGCAAATATCGTTTGGACCCCACCTCGCTGCTACCGTCCCGCTGACATTGGCAACAGTCGGATGCCGTGCCCCGCCCCTCTGAACGACACAAGCATCGCCATCACGCTCTTCCGCCCCAGCAAGCGATTGGAATGGGAAGTCCTCGAGAAACTTCCCGAAACGTTCCACGACCCCGGCTAGCGACCGGATCACGCGGGGCTCGGCAGCTTCTGAGCCGTAGCTGGAGCTGTCACCACCGCCACTACCGTCTGCCGCCGCGTCCTCTGAGGCAGAAGAAGCTTTCCGCTTTTTGCCGGAGGACTGGCTCGTTTTTTGGCTGGTACCACCGACGCCGCCGTCGCCGCCGCCGCCACGCTTGGCCGCTCCAAGGAACAGCTCGGCGGCCGTAATGATCCCCGTGTCGCGGGCGAAGTTGTAGCAGTCCGCGGCCGTCGCGATTCTGTCCCACTCCATCGTTTCATTCTCGCGCAGTTCCGCCCCCTGTTCGCACCCGATGGCCTTGAAGCCACCACCCCCGACTGCTGCCGAAGAGAAGGCTTGGCTCTGAGACGCGCTGCTCTCGAACACTCGGACCGCCTCCGTTATCCCGGCCCGGCCGGATTCCTCGAGGCGCCGCCACACCCAGGTGCGGGTGCCGTCGTTTTCCGAGGGGGTTTCGTCGAGGCCGTCGAACGTTTCGACGACGAGCGGGCACAGCGCCAACAGGACGGCCATGCACTTGCGGCGGAATCGAGTCTCAACCGCGCCGACCTGAAAGTTTGTGTATAAAGGGAGAAAGAGGTCGCGAAGAGGTTGTTGAAAAATGCCGATACTGCTACCGTTGAAATTTGTCAGCAACCGCGACGACGACAGCAACAAGAAGAGAAGGAACTGAACAAGAAGAGGAGGAAGTCAAGGAAATTTGGAGCTGGTGGTGCTGATTGCGTTTGAAACACGCACGGTCGAAGACAAAGCAAAAAAAAATACGGTTATCGCCGGCGGCACGTGATATCTACACAACGTACATATTTTCACCAGTACACTCTATAATTCGTTGCCCAGTATGCTCACCCGGTCCCAAGCCCAACCAGCCATCTCCTCGACGCTCCGCAGTTCGCCCCTCTCGTCCCTTTTCCTGAGAAGGTCACCTCTGTCTCCCTTTTCGGTGACGGACTCGTGGACTACCCTCAGGGCGCGGTCCACGGCCGAGGACGCCGCGTCCGCCACTCCGAGCGCCGAGTGGTCGTGGTGAGCCCGTCGCAGGGAGATCAGCGCCACGTGGAGCAGGCGCAGGGCGTACCTACGGCGGTTGTAAGCGTGTGCTTGCTTTTGATTTCCAAGCCATACCCAGGGCAATTTCAAATCGGGCATGGTGCGAACAAATCTCGCCCCCCTGCCGTAGAGCCACGGGGCCACCGAGTCAACGCTTGGCGTCGTTTACCTCACGCGTCGTAAATGCTTCATGTGTTCAAAGTGTTGCGACGCAGGCAACGCACGGGCAAGTCGCGGCGCAGCACTTTTGAGACCGAGAACAACATCTTAAAATGCGCAGGAGCGCAACACCAGCCTCTGGGTGGCCACGAGGTAGATGTACCATTTTGCCTGTACGCCTGCAACTACGAGGGAAGGGAAATCTCTCGCGTGACCAAATTTCGGGGGGGGGGGGG